TAATGGTTTTATTCCATTATTTCAATACAGTTATTAACCATCTAATTCAGTCAATAAAGCAAATGTAGACTCCAATTCAATAGACGATCTAATCTATTCTGGGCGATATGATTGAATAATACATCGATTGATAAATTAATTTTTTATGTCTGTTACTTCAGTAGTCACGATTTCACCATGCGTATAGAAATTAAAATATAAAAATTAAATTCAAACCCAAAGAATAGATAGATTTAGCCCCACCCGAGTTTATTATTCATTTTACTATTCTTTAGTTAAAACATTCAATATTAACATTGTTTACTCTGCCACTCAATGTACAAACACATCAGTATCGATGATTATGCCATTAATAACTGGCACTATACATCACCTTATTCACAATATTTGTCTATGTTATTTGCATTTTTGCCTGTGTCTTGCTTACTCTCTATTTTATACACTCTGTCCTTCTCTTTCTTAAGTGTATTATATTTCCATACGCATTTTCTACTCCCTAAAATCTCAAGACATCAATCGATTTCAAGCATTGATCAGCGTACGCCGTCAAGAATTGCATTAGCACTTTAATGACGTGACAAAAAATTGTCTTTCCTCTCCAATTCTATTTCCTATATTCCGGTAAATTTTGATCCCTCGTCAAATTAGTTTTAGCATTTTTGATCTATTTCTGATTTTTCCTATTCTTCCCCTGATTTTGCCATCAATCGTAATTGTAATTATCTTTAAGAGCTAATTAAAATTTAATCTCCTACTGTCCATAGCTTTCAATTACATCTAACATTTTATTTACAAGGTATTTTTTTATCCTTCTTTTGCCATATTTACTAACAATAAATCATTCTTTCTCCATTTTCACTCTCTTATTACATTTTAAGATTGCTGTCTATTGTAAACGATCACTTATCCATCTTTTGGAAAAGAAGCTAGAGAAATTTAATCGATTTTTGTTGCTTCCTTCACGTCAATATTTTGTATCTGGTCTATTTCCCTTCATTACAAATTCACCACAAGGAAGTGGATAATCAATTGCTATATTTATTGTCATTGATTCTATCATCAATTCCCTTAACCACAACAAAGCTTAGCTACTGTTTGGTCATTCTATTAATTACCTTGGTACTTCTGTCGATAAACTCAGATTCGCAAGTAAAGTCATCATGGCTAAATTAATATTGGGCATTTTTGTACTTGTAGGTAAGTCGAAAGGCATTCTTGTTATCTTCTTCATTAACTATTTCAAGCACATCGATAGGTGTTAACTTCATGATAACTATGGGCGTCTTTAAATGTATGAAGAAATAATCTAAACCCATCATCATTTTTTTTTATAATATCTATTTTACTAATTTTCTTATTACTAATTCAATGTCGATCATCGTTCGACGAAAATCAATCTCATCATCTTGAAAGTATCATCATGTTGCGATTAAATTGAGTCCGTTTGTAGCAGGATAATATACTATATTTATTCATGAATTGAATCTGGTGATTAGTAAGCTGTTGTTAGGCACGGATCCATTTTAAGTTTGTTTTCCTAATTTCCTATGTACTCTCCATATCCATAAGAAACGATTATCAAGAAAAAAGAAATTAGTTCTCAATGATTAATTGTTAGCCTCGCCTTACGGTCACCATTCTGTCAGTACTGTAAATTATTTCAATGTTATATTAGCAACACATGGCTATTCTATCCTTCATGCTAGCTGACAAACCAGAGTGCCATGTTGATTAACAAAAACAACTTACACTTTACGCTTATTCTTACTCTATCACTATTTCGCATTGATAATCCATTTCATTTTCGTCATCTCGATCGATACGGATCGAGTAATCATGGCATATCGATTTTAAGTACTATTTCATTTAATAAGGGCTGATTTACCCTGCAGATTTAATTTTGGGGAGATTTTACGGAGAATACAGCAATAGCAAAAATTTTTCGCCATTCATAAACAGGAATACTGTCGAGATCTCCTTTCATGGTAGGACTAGATGGAATTTACTCCTAATTATGGGCATATACTACCTAAATCCCTTTGATTTCAATAGCTATAACCTACTACGTCCATTTGAGGTATATTCTACCTTTACCCTCCTTTTTCGATTTAAATCGATAGACTATCTAAAACTCTATCTATAGATTGCTTTCATTACTTAACTTACTAGGTACAGAATAGTATCATGGTAAATGTCTTCTACTAGATTCAAATTAACTCAAACATGATTTAAGAGAATTAATCAATTATCTATAATTTTTTGCTTTCCTAAAAGAGAACTTTTCTTTGCTTTTAAATTATTCTAATTCGTTCCTTAAACTGTACGAAATTGAGCACCAGTAGTTAACTTAAGCACGTGTTTTGATAAAATGATAACGTAATGGGATGTTGCAATTTTAATTATTGCAATGGAATCGAGTTATAAATTCCAGGAATTTTCTTTGTAATTGTTTTGACATCTTGTTGTGTGCGTAGTACACCTTTCCAAATAGAACGATGAATCACTGAAAGGTCTATTTTAAACTTGAATGCTGGCGATTGCTGGTTAGCTAAGAATGTAACATAAGATAGAGTAAATTTCAAGTTGTAGTTAGCTTAAAATAAATGACGATAATTGAACATACCTTTAGAGATAGAATGGAAATGTATTATTCTAACCCTACTCGTAAGTTCAAATTACTGGTAACTTTTCGAATTCCTGTCACCCGATTGCAATGAAAAGAAAATGACGATGATATAAGCCCTTAAAGACCAACACTTTTTGATAACCAATCAATCAATACATCTGCCTAGAAATTAGGCAATTCATGTTAACTTAACTTTTACTTAATTAGTAGAAAATTTACTCTCTATGGGAATCTTATGATTTCTTGGTTGAATAGGTTACAATATATTAATCAAATTTTATCATTTTTTAAATTCGCTTTCTGTCAATTCCCTGAATTTATAATTCTTAGCTAAGTATGATCTGTTTATTAAATCCCGATCATCAATCTTTCAAATATCATAAGCTTAAGATCAGCTTTCAATAATAACTCCATCACAGAAGAACAATTTCGTTTTTGCAATTAATCAATACTTTATGTAGTAACGTCAAATTAAGCAATTTTTATTTCATTTTCTCATCACCATCAATCTGAAACTCTTAACTACCGTACCTATGTAATAAGGCATTTTTCTCATTCATCTATTCATCATAAAGTATTGCCATAGTAAAGATAGTCTCTTTTAACAATTTTAATTATTTACAAAAATAACATGCCAATAGAAGCACCAGTCGTTAACGTTTATCTATCTTTTATACTTCCCTATTCTTACTACCTGGCTGGTGAGAATAAGAATTTTTCTTTTATTTATGATATGAGATATTTCACACGAGAGACGAAACAAAAAGTAAACTAGATCCTTATTCATTTATCTACTCTGAATGGCAATATCAATGAAATATGGACGATGTATTTATCGCACATTCTTAACTGAAGTCTAATTTATTGCCCTTAGCCCTTCCTCTGCCTATTTCTTTTTATGCCAACTCAATAAATGAGTATTTACTTGTTTTTTGCTTTATGACATTTATTGCCGGATACCCGAAATACTCGTACAGCTTGTTTAGGAAATAATTTCATCTTTGTTTACCTGGTCCAATCTGTAAAACATTACGATAATTTATCTTTTATAATTTTGGATTGACTGCAATCCAGTAACAATGTGGAATTCTTCTACTTTTTGCAGTTATTTAAATTATCACAATCAATAATGGAATAAGAAAAGATTTTCTTTCTTATCTTAGTTCCCTTTCCTAAATGAATCCACAAATACAAAGATCATTTTACGTCTTACTTTCACTGCTTCATACTAGCCTATTCCAATCAAGTATTAGTATTTAATTCTTTCATAAATTTGTCATATTAACTATCCAAATAGTCGGAACAAAGATTGACAAGGAAAAGATGTTTTCTACGATTTCACTCACCCTTCAAATTAACTATACAACATTGCGACTATCGCTTTTTATTTTATTATTGAATTCCTGATTATTTCAAAAAGAAACCTTAGTTTCTTTAATATTTAATACTTGTCAGCCAAGTGTTAAATAGAAGCTACCTAGAAAAATAGTCTTGTCCTCTTTTTGTGGCATAGTTATCTTTCGTCTCTGTTCAGTGTCGTAATTTTATGCCGGCTTTTGATATTAAAAAAATTTCTGTCCTTTACTATAGTGTCTAACTAGGAATATCTCGATTTTTCTTATTTTACTATGAATATATAAAATTAGCTGGCATTTTCCATAAACTAGTTGACTAACTTGATAACTCTGTATGCTATGGGTATTTTCTATTAATCAAAAACCGAAAAAGTTGCAAGTTGCATATCACAACTTCTTGTCTTTATAATTATAAAGGATGAAGCAATTTAAATAATAAGATTATTTATCTTCTTTATTATCAACTAATCATTCAGAATATCCTAAACATTAATTTTTATACTCGTTACAACAAACTTTAAGACATTAAGGATTCAATTTCGGAAAAATTAACAATTCGTCTATACTCTAGCAATTATAACATAATTCCTACTTTACATGGTCAATATTTTCAAATTATGCAAATTGACCTAGATATTAACTAGTGGAATCTACCATTCTGTAATCATGATTCTAATAATCCATGCGCTATCGCAAATTTTAGAATAAATCGATCTCCTATTGCTCAATTTTTCACCTTTCTTAATTAAAAATGATACTCGAAATCATCTTATCTCACTCGGTACAAAATAATTTAAGTCAAAGTAGAAATAAATTCCTACTGCTTATAATGATTGAAGAATATGAATTCTAAATTTCTTTCTTTTATTTACCTGATAAATTTATTTTAAGCGACCTACTATAAAGCTAATATTTAAAATGTGATCGATCTGATCTAAAATGCTATACTAAATTATACTTATTTAGGTCTTGTATATCTATCTTGCGGCCAACAATATGAATTTACAGGAAATTCAGTCATGCGTTTAGCTATTTTAAATAGACCATGGATTTCAGCTTACGGAAACTTCTTTAGTGCAGCTAAAAAGAATTTAAGCAGAGATATTGGAGAGAGCGTAAGTTAAAATACAGTAGATTAATAATACCTATAACAAGGCAAGGATAGGGTGTCTAGAGACAATAAAAATCTCGGTTAATATCCACGCTAAGATATCATTAATTTCTCATAATTATTTTTTATCCGTTAAGATTACCAATACTGTACTGCTATTAGTAAAACAATCAGAGACATTCAGTACTTATTACTATATCGCTTACTGAAAATTAGCAAGGATTAATTTATGGCTCATATAAAACTTAAATGAATCAATTCGTTTTTAGTTGACAACATTATTTCTTGGAGTTCCTGGAAATCATAAGGTTTCTACATGGGCGATCCGGTAAGTTGAGTCAATTTACTGTATTCTTGCTATACAATTTATTCTCGAATGAAATGACCTCTATCTAGCTGATAATGCATTCAAAAAGAAAAATCTAAGCAATTTTAATCATTAAGTAATCGTCATTTACCGATCTTTAGAGATAGACAGAATATAAAATATCACGGCATTATTGCCTTGCATATACATATAGCGCTACACTTTGTTTCTAATGAAACCGTAATCCAATAGGATATTGCCTACTACCAGTAGTGGATTATTTTCTCTCTGGTTAATTTTTACTATCAGTGCCGCATGAATAAATATGATAGGATAGAGACAAAGAATCATTCAATCCAACCAACATATAATAAAATTTACCAATAGTATTTACGGCATAAACAAGAGAATATATACACAGATAAAGTGGTCATTACAAGTGATTACTACTAAACCTTGAAAGAAATAGAATTATAGATCAAATATCATAACGATAGTATCAGTTCGATCATTTTTTTATTGAATTATCCTATTATAGAACTATAGAATATTGCTATTTGGTTCAAACACCGACTGGAATGAATGAAACTTGCAGGTTAGAATCGAAATAAGCAAAAAAATATACAGATGTGTAACTTGAAATGTGTTGATTAGAATGTTACTATTAATTTAGAGGCACTCAATGATGTAGCTTATAATGAATTTTATCTTACTTCAAAACTAAAATTGATATTTTTAAATTACATTAGTTCAAAATTAAGCGCAAGAGATGTATGGATCGATAGTTCTATTAAAATAAAATGTTAATTAAATCTGTATGAGTGAAATAAATTCTATTCTATTGCTAGATTACTTCCACGGCAAATTGCTGTTTTATCCTATAAAGGCAATACCAGTGAAGGATTTTCTAAACAGAAATTAGTGAATACATGGAATCGAGCCATAGAATATGGTAAAATAGGGCCATTCGAAGTCTATCGTAATGGATCTGAATTTGAGCTTAAAGTGGACGTAAGTAGCAATTTTATGGAAAAAAATTCTTGAAATTTGTCATTCGATAGGTACCGTATTTGAAAGAGTATGGTAAACAATATAAAGTTTTATTTTTTCGTAGCGATGATACTCGTAAATTGAATAATTAAACCATTTGAAACTTGCGTTTATTCGAATAGTAGTAAACCATCTATCTCTAATGTCAATGTCAGGTCGATTAAATAATTATAGTCCATAAATTTCTTCGCAATATGCTTTAGAAACCGATTGGTTTTACCAGCCCATCACCAACTAACGCTTCCGGAAATATTACTCTTCCTACGGTCAGACCATTTCAAAGTGCCATGAGAATTACATCTCAAGTTCTTGGAGGAATATCATTGGCCGGTTGTATTCTAACATTTATAACCTATATTATTTTTAGGTAGGTCTCATTTTACCTTTATTGGATGCTAAAAAATTTTTTATCTGGAGGCATTTCGTCCTTTTGTTAGAGAAGCCCAGCCTAGTATGAAAATACAGTACTTTACCAATCACCCTAAACTAAACATGACAAGCCTGTTTAAAGTATCTAATATTTTTGCAATATTCTTAAAGCCTTTGAGAGTTAAATATATGTAATAGTCTATTAGCACTTACTGCACATAATCTTATTTACTACTAGCTACGTTTAATTTATGTTAAACTTTGACTTTTATGCTATATGTATTTTGCAAGTACAATATAGACTATCGAAGCTAACTGATAAACTTATCCGTTTTTCCAACCTTCAAATAGATCTATCCGTCAAAAAAGAGCAAACCAAATAATTTGTTTCATCTGCATCTCTATTGCTATTTATCAAGTATTTAACTTTTTTGTCCAAACTTCAAATTCGAACGAACCACTTTGCAAAGCTATCGGAATCCTACTCCATTTTACCTTATTATCAGCTATAATGTGGATGACAATATTAGCTTTCCACTTCTACTTTGACTTGATTCGCGTCTATTCTGAAGTAAATCAAATTTCTAACTTCAAATTTATGCTATTTAGTTGTTCAGCTGGATTTGGTAAGTGAATCAATGGAGCCTAATGAAATCCATACCTTTGTGTTTATAGAAGCATTTAATGATGATAATAGTTGACTATACTTAGTAACCTTGTTGCGATCGCAGCTTGTTAGTCTATACTGCGACTTTCATAGAGTCTCTTATCAATTATAATTATTGATTGAAAACTATAATAACTGTTGGTTGAGCATAGGAGATCGGCTAGTTATGAATAAAATAATAATGTAGCGTATATATAGATTTTACGAAAACGAATTTTCTTTTATAAAATTGCTTTTAAAAATTGACCACGGACTAAAAACTGTGATACTATCCTCTATTTTCCTATAGGCATTCCTGGAACTTTGACCATGGTTGGAATAACTCTTGATAGTAGTAACGCATCAGTAATTTATCACACTGGTAGCTTGTAAGTCTCCTTAAGCTTAAATTAACTCTACAATATTCTAATTAACTTATATCGATCATGGAATTGAATAAACTCCATCCGAAAATGTTTCGTCGATGATTTTTTAATATCTTGTTGCCATTTTCTTTGTACAGTTGTTGGCTTACAGATGGCACTTGGGAAACAACCTTATTTCTTATGCCTGTTCTTGTCCTGTCTGGTATTAATTTGATCATCTTTCTAATAATATTTCAATTAATTCGTCGATTATCACGAGAGCGCAATCAAGGCGTTACGTTTGCTCAAGTTATATCACTTATGGCGTTGGTTACAGCATTTGGTTTAGCATGGCTATTCTCGGCAGTTGAATTAGCTAGCGAAGGTGAAGCCAAAGATGTTTTCGGTGGAATATTTATCGTCCTATCACAATTACAAGGTACACTACTGTTTTTCCTGTATTGTGTTGCTAAGAAAGAAGTTCGAAACAAATACTTGGAATTATTCGGTTACGGAAAAATCTCTACCTCCGCATCTGAATTTTCTGGCAAGCACACGATTAAGACTAATATTGGATCTCAATCAGTTGCTCATACGTCGAAAATTACTGATCATAGTGTCGCCTATAATAGTTACTTTGAGTCAAGTAAAGAAATTGACAACCCGGTACCAGCTCAACAAATTACTGCTGTACAAGACCTCGAAAGTCAAAATGCAGTCCAATTTTAAAATGATAGCTATAATAAGTTATGGTGTGTGTATGTCCAAATACTGTCCTGAGTGACTGCAGTTTTCATGATTGATATAAATTCGTGACGATTAAAGTCAATTCCCGATGGCGCACAATGTAGTGGTAGATATAATAGCTCTCTGGTACTGTAACTACTCGAAAAATGGCGCTTTTAATATAATTCCTATCTTCTAATTCGATTCAATATTCTAAATAGATTCACCGCCTAACTGCGATAGTCTATCTATAGAATTATTTACAATTGAAAAATGATAACGATTCGCTATAACCTAAACTATTAAGTATATTAGCTCATCCAATATGATCCTCAAACTACTTATAATAAGTTGATTGAAATTTATGTCAGTAATAATAGAATTTTTGAAGCTTGTTTCTTCTAATATCATCGAGAACTTTCATGCTGGGCTGCTGATTTAAAAAAAAAATTTACATCATATCCGCGTAGTTCTTTATTAATAATCTTGTTATGTTATTGATGATGTAAAATATTTTTGCTCTGGATATTATATGATAGCGCGTATAAAGAAATCTTCGAAACGTATTTATCGATATTAAGAAACTATAAGAGCTTCCGTTTAAGCTAGCAATTCTTAATTTAGTTCAGAAGAATATCGCTCCTTTATAAATTCCGCATTAGATATATTGTAATAGAAGACTAACCTAAGTTTGCTACCAATCATACAGTAGATGATAGCTTTTGTCTTAAAGTAGTTTAAATAATATAGCGTTGATTATTGTGCTCAAACATACCTATAATATTCTACAATAATTACTTAAATATTTACGATTCAACTATCTTTGTCAATACAAAGACAATTTTTCACTCGATGTTGCCGTGAAATGTACAAGTTATGAAACTTTGCTGCTTGACAGTCTATTTTACGTAATAATTAATTCTAAGTGAGCTTCTTTTCGCCCTTATCCCGTTTTATTATTAATGGTATGATAATAGTTACTTTATGCCATATCTGGCACTTTAATTAATATACAGTACATAACATCTACCCTATACCGTACTTCATAAGAATTATTTTTATTCTTTAGCATACCTTTTATTCATCTTAGCCAACTATACAAGTAAATTATAGAGGGAAATAAGTACTAGCAAAGCAGCTACTACTCGAAATTGTGTCATATAAGATTTTTGTTATCTTATTGACATTCTATCATTAGCATAGTTATATTTATTCCTTTCAACTAAATACTGTCAATTGTAATCAACTTCTCTATCTTGCTAGGTGTAGTAAACTATGATATATGAGTAGCTAATTTACAACTTGCTTCCGTTTAACGATCTTGTTGGTCGAATGACTATAATAGTCACATTCCGTATTCGATCCAATGTAACTGTATATTTCCTTCTTTGATATAAGAGGTTCTATAATTTGTTTGATTTACTTTGACAAGCTTTTAACTTTGATCGCTACCTTCATTTTAATTATTATATGCTAACGTTAATATTATGCAATAAATCCTTGACTTGACTAGAAATGATCTAAAAGTTTTAGGAAATGCTGAACATTAAATATTTTCCCTACTTCATTGGTCTTATTCCTTTGAACGATATCGCTGTACATATCTTGTATGCAGTAGTACGCTTTCCTTCGTCAATTGGTTATCCACTTTATCATGCATTACTGCACTAACTATAAAAATATAATAGTATGCAGATATAATCTATGTGTATAGCAAATAACAATTTAGCAAATTAAGGTGTTAGTAAAGATGTCATCGGCATAGTTATTGATGTAAATTTTTTCATAAGATTAAATTCTATACTTGCTTATTTGCATGCCTTATGTCATCTCAATAACATCAGAAGTGCTATTATGCGAATCAGCGAATTTGAAACACATCTAATTTGAATAACGGAAAGACTGATATTAACTAACAATCTGGCTCATGGTTTGCTGTTATTAAGGCTGTGAATTAGTTTTATCCTTTATAAAAACATAGCCTGAAGAGTATTCAGAATGCAGAAGTACTTTTAATTAAATATTGATAAATCTCCTTTTATAACATTAACTTTAATAGATATCGAAGTATTAATTTCCCTTCAAGATAATATTGATGACTATAATAATTAGAGTTTAAAGGTTAGAGCATGCATATGGAATGATTGATACTAAAACTGCAATTTGCATGGCTAAAGTTTTATTTAATAATTGTTAATTACGAAATATTAATTGTTTCATAATGTGGATTCACTGGTACAGTATCGAGTACAAAGTATGTTTCTCGTCACAAGTTATTACTATTGAATGCAATATCCAGTGTGCTATGGAGATATTCAATTAAGGAGAAATGTGGCTTGACTTGGACTGATTTCTTTTCTTTCCAATGTTACACCATGCTCGCCAAGAATAAATTAGAGGGATGGTCTCTCATCCAATGATGACATGATAAATTTATGATAGCTTTGCATAATATCAATAGCCCGCCTAGTTAAATAAGTACTGCGTTATTCATAGAAGGAAGTCCATTTGTTAATCTATTCGTAATAATCAGTTCTGAGTTCTGTTTCTGGGAAAATAAGTAAATAATGAATCATGAATTTAAATTTTTGCATATTACGCTATGTATTAGTTAGTTGTATAGGTTATTAATGAATTTTTTATTAATGCCCGTAAATCAAATGATCAGACACTAATTATATGTTACTTTTATAAATTCTGTAACAGAGATAGCTTTATTTATTCGGTTACACAATGAATAGCTGGGACGTAGCTCACAATTTAGCAAAAGCAAGAGTGCTTTTGATAAGACAGGTACTAATATGATCGATTGAAAGCTATTATCTGCTTATGATTTTGTCTAGAATTAACTTGGTGCAACTTAACAGAGGTTAGAGATTATATGGATTAACGGAAAAGGATACTCGACGTAGTAAGAAATTCAAGAAATTTTACCGCTTATGCCATTTTAAAAATTTAATTATTCATGGGTTGAAATTTTAGGAAATTAATATCATAAATAATTAATTAATGAATAGCGATCAGTTGACAGGTTGAATAACACTTCGTTAGGCAAAATTGAATAAAATGCAATTTTTAGGAAATTTATTATAAATAATTAATGTTAGTGATAATTGGCACCCTGATTAGTGTTTCGTTAAGCCAAGTTCAAACATGGCACTCATACTGCCTCACAGGTCTCAGGATTTTAGTATGATTTTGCCCAATAATTATATATAATTGCATATGAGACATAAGATACAATTGATAGTGACCAAGACATTGTTAATTGTGTAGCAACTGATACATTTTATTCTACTAAGGTACAATAGCATATATTAAGGGAACGTTATGTATTTTTGAATGACGTTTTAGCTTTACAGATGCACTTTGCTGCACCAATATTTGTTTTTATTTGCATACGCTAATGCAACTTTGCTATTATCAAAATGTTTATTAGCTTACCCCTGTACCTGACCTTGTTAGTTAAATAATACGATTTAATTTATTTATTAAAATCAATGATTCTATATAATTTAATTTCTACTGTGATCGCGTCCATGAATTTTACGATTACTATAGGACGTTTGGATCATCAGATCTATAATTCAAGTAATTACACTATAGTTATTACTTTCCATTACTTTAGAATTACCAACACTTAATATTAATTTTACGTTATCCATGGAAAATATTTAAATAAATTCTCCTTCTTTAATCTAATTTTCTTGACCTTTGAAGTTATCCTATTTGTATTAGTTAATGTTATGCCACTGTAAATTATAAATTGATTCATTACGATAGATTCAACCAGTAAAATTTTTGAAGTAACTTCCAAAATGTGGCCATTGACATAGAAAGACTTTCATAAATCTTTTCTCGTATTGGTGTTGGCATCTATAACACTTACCAAATCGTACTGATAGAATTAGAAACATGAGCTGATCACATTTGATCATAGTGTTTTCTCCACGTTTTATTTGTTCATGGAAGAATGTTCTCATGATTCAAAATAACGTCAAAATTTCTCGATTATTACGATATATTTTGTTTCGTATAAAAGAAACTACCATCAGTTGGGCCTGTAAAGATATCTATCACTTTAAGTAAGGTCTAGGTTGATGCTTAATTTATTTAAGGCGTATAAAGTTAATCGTTCCCATCTGTAGCACTCAAAGCAAGATAGAATAAACGGCACGAGGTTAAAAAATGCAAAGTGGAAATTTCAGATCCTTACTTTAATTAATTTTATCGATTCAGTGAACGCCATAATTTATTTTTCAATAGAAAGAATTGGGTAAATTTGTATTCCGGTAAATCACTCGTTATAATTAGTTTTGTCATCATAACATGACTGTACTATTCTCTTCTAACGACGAATTCATTATCTCTAATGATGTTTTCCTAGATTCTGGACGCTGTGAAAATCAATAAGTCTTTCAGTAATTGGTACGGTATACATTCAATTCAATCTCTTTACTGCGGAATTTAACAATAACGCTAACAAACTAGCGTACATCTACCATGAACTAATCTCTGTTCTCTGATGAGATTCTTTCTGTCTGCTTATCTACATCAGTGACGAATAGCAAGATAATTAATACATTTCATCGATACTCTCTTCCATTAATTACCCTCGAAATAATGTTGACGCTAAAAGCAAATAGTATTTACTTTTTGCCTTTAATATTATTATTTTATATTATCTACTTCTATGAATATTTATATTTTGTTATTGATATAATTTCTACCATAGAACTTCCTGAGGCTACTCACCACTACGCATCATCGACGGCAACTACAATATATCTCTATGTCTAATTTCATCTTGATGACAGTGATTGCCTTCATCTACCCGAAATGATGAAAGCATACCGATACTATATCGAATAATACTATTTTTGTAAACCGACTGGATTAGATTAGGGTTATCCAAAGAGTTAGGTGGAATTAAGAATGTCCCAATAATAACGTATGCAAGAAAATAGAAATTTTTTCTGCAAGAATAACACTTTGAAAGGAATAAAAATAGCACGTTGATATTAACAATGATAATGCTGTATTATAAGGTTGAATAAGAATTGATCTGAACCCTTGATTTATTTATGATATTAAAATTTATGATTACGGTAAAAATTAGCCTACTAATTGTTATTCTAACTTGCTATACATGTGATTTATTTACTTTTCTTCAATGTAGCATATTTACTAAATACCACACGGTAACATGCTGCCGTTTAGCATCTAACGTTATTTAATATAAGTTTAATACAGTGACTTACAACGAAACAGCATCCTCTTATAATAGCACCAATCTTTTTCCGTACATAGATCATTTCTTGCAGTACGATGTAGAATTATTTTCGCTTAACCATTTGACAAAAGAAAAATTATTTTCTCCTTGGTTTAATCCATTTTTAGATTGTTAGTGAAATCTTGGCGAGATATTGATTAGCACCTGTTGTTACATCGCGAAACAACTTCAGAACTTTTGCATTAAAACTACATTATTTGGCAAAGAAACACTTTCAATACTGATAATTCGAAAGCATTAATGAATATCCATTAAAACTAACTTATATCTTGAAAAGTTGTTGAAATCGACTTTGGCTTTATCATAACTTATTTTTGGACGGAAAATAATATCTATCCAGGCTTTGATGATATCCATCTTATTAATTTATTAATTGTATCCAAAGGACTATCGTGTGATTAAAAAATGCCGTTAAGTGCGTGTGAAATAGACGCGATTGACAAGCACATAAATCATTTGACTATCAATTCATCATCACTCGATCTAGTACCATTACTCGTCGATAATCAAATTTTGACGTTACAAGATGTTGAACAAATTCAAAAAGAAAAAGATGACAAGGCGAAGGTAACTGTTGTGTTTGATAAACTAAAAGAAAAGGATGCAGAGAAATTTTATAAATTCTGTGACCTTCTGCAATCGTCAAATGATGAAACAGCTGCAAAATACGCTTCAATAATGTTACAAGATGCTTTGAAAGCGAACACTATTAGAGCTAGACGTTCAACTAAAAGAATTAGGAGTCGTGCCAAATCATCCAGTGGCGATGTGAAATCACTCTCTAGGTCTGTACATTTACTTTGTTCAATTCTTGTTTCATAACTATCCAATTAAAATAATCCACTACCACTATTTTAAAATGCTCTAAAATATCATAAACTCTTCTACTGAGACTAGAACTTATGCTAAGATATGCAAAAGCCAGGACTGTAGCGTCTTTGCATGGGGAAATAATCAATCCTATCAACTAGGATCATGCCAATTTGAAAAATTGCGTGTACCAGCAATCAATAAAATATTATCGGATTATAAGCCGATATCCATAGCTGGAGGAACGAGTAACTCCTACTTTGTTAGCTCATCTGGAAAAGTAAATCTTGTATTGGTTTAATGTGATCATTGGTTGATTGATGATAAAAATATTCTCTATTTTAAACACAAGTATGTGAGATTGAACATCAGAAACTAGAAATTAATTCCAATGTTCTTATTCAATTTTATGGGTCGAGTAGCTTTATGAATTGGGCAAATCGATGATTACAAAGCCAGTCTTGAACGACGATTATAGTCATCATCAAAAAATATTAACAACACCACAACCAGTCTTTGGATTTTCCAATGTATTTGTTACTCAAGTTATGGTCCATCATGATGGTGAATACGCCATGGCAATTACTTCCAATGGTCAGCTTTACACTTGGGGCTGTGGTCCATTAGGCAATAATACGTACGTACAACAGTATGTAAATGAATGGGTAAAATTGGCGTTCTATCGAGGATGATTGATTGCTATAGTCAGAATGGATCGATAGTTATTACTTTATTTCGTTAGCAATCCTTCATAGTCTACAGATAGGAGATATTTGAGTCTAAAGAATCACTTTGATTTTTTTATTAACTGTAATTGGGATTGAATTACTATCGATCCAATAATAATAGACGCGTAGTACTGGAAATAGTAGAATTGAGCAATAAAGGAAGGCAGTGCCAATCATAACAAAATATATTAATCGATCAAGCTATATTTTCGTTCGTGGATGATTGAATGCTACATTTGGGTTTGAGACATTGATTATTTTATTCCATTATCAGGACATGTTCAACAGCTCATCCAGTAAAAGCTTTATTAGGTAAAGAAATTATCCAAGCAAGCTGTAGTGTAACGCATTGTGCGGCAGTAACTTCTAAGGGTAAATTGTATACATGGGGAGAAGGCAAATATGGAGGACTTGGTCATCCTGACTGCAAATGCCATATCAAGCCGAAAAAGGTGAAAGCTTTCAAGGACAAAAAAGTGAAGATGGTAGCCTGTGGTGGCACTAATAACTACAATTTTGTAAGTCATTTTACTGTAACAACTTGCTTTTAAACTTTAGAATCGATGCAACAATCTTCTTCATGTCAACGTTACTTATAAAGTTGTCATCAACTCATTCGTCTAAAATATTCCCGAAATAGATACGTTAGCTGCAATATTCCTTGTAAAAGGTGGTTATACCTCCTTCCAGTATTGTATTTTAGCATCCTTTTAGAAATAGTATTCACTATTTCTAATTTTTATCCATGTAGTAGCATTACTTTTGAGTTTTCGATACCAAGAGAAACTTCTTTATAGCATGCTACGAGGTATCACTTGATTTCCCATTATTGAGAATATCATTGATTGTTATTATCGTCGTTATCACCGTTCTGATCAGACGTTATCGGAAATATTCACCACTAAGATGGCACATGGACTGTTCGATGTACCGTTATATCTAGTAGTTTGATGGATGGCAGTTCAGCTACGGTTGTTATACAGTGGAACAGTTCTTCCTATAAGGCGCCACTTGATTCAATCGTCAACGTTATAGTTATTAAATCATATCATCACTCATTATCAACAACATTCACCTCTAAGATTGATATCCAATGATACAAGGTATCGCTTGATTTCCCCTTGTTGAAGTTATCATCGATTGCTGTTATCATGGCTATCAGGAACATTTACTTCAGAGATTGTTCTTGAACATGGTTCAATTAGAGTTGTTATATAATTAATTAATACTTGAAAAGCTCCTTCTACGATAAATCACTTAGGCAATATCCTACTAATAATACATTAATGGCTAAAAAATCCAATTAGAATATTAAAGACAGTATCATATAGTTACGGTCTGTCAAAAGTTAAAGCAGTTCTAGTTTGTTATATTAATGAAAAATAACAATAAGGCAGAATATCACTCTACAGAAAATTTTCTGAAAATACGTCGTTTCTTGATTAAGATTAGGCACTTGCAATTTCCATATTTATGACTGTAGTGATTGATAGCGGATAGAAATATTTCCAATATCGATGGCTTTTCGGCATATTTCCATTGAAAGACTGACGTGTAAAGCAACAATTTGTAAAAGAAATTTTATAAGGAGATGCTTTACCTTCTAGACTGAAAAGTGTATATTTTCTACTTTAACTTCGCGATTATTGTGCTAGCGTAATTGATCAAATGCTTCCTTTACTGACAATTTCTAAGAATGTATTCAACTTTAAGGATTTCTAAGTATCTTATTTTGATTTAGCAATTTCTGATACTAAATATATTCGGCCGACGATCTTCTATTTTTTGTAATAGACGGTAGCAATTACTACAGATGGCCAAGTCTGGACTTGGGGAGACTGTAAATGTGGTAAACTGGGTCGCGATAATGGTCAGTCGACCCATCTTCCAGCCGCCCTCGATTCATTGAACGATAAAAATATCGTTAAAGTTTCATGTAGCTGTGAATGTACCCTTGCATTGAGCAACGATGGAGAATTATTTGCCTGGTAAATCGATATGCTTACTATATTCAAGTTAAAATACAGTAATAGCATGTAGTTATTTTTTTCGTAATATGTCCATCATTATTTTGTAATGATACAGTGTATGTAGCTTTTGATGCTATCGATATTTATCTTCATCATCATGACCAAAGATATCGCCGTCTAAACATAATATATAGTAACATTCTCGTGCATTAAGTAATATTAATTATTATATGTACAGAACTCGTCTGGTCTGTAGTTTACCATTTTAATATTCGTCGTATTTATTGCCATTTGATATTAGGGGCTACGGTGATTTCCTTCATCCAGGCTTCTTTAGAGACGATATCATTCCTTTCCCATATAAAGTGGAAATGTTTAATGATATTAAAGTAGCAGATTTCGCAGTTGGCAGTAGCAACGGCATCATTTGCACAAAGGATGGTAAAGTTTATACTTGGGGTTACAACGATTATGGACAATTAGGTAATGGATTTCGGCAAGATTCTTTATCTCAGTTATGTCCTGTTACCGCTTTGCAGTATTTTAAACTCGATCGTGTGGCATGTGGCTTTTCTCATGTATTTGCTTGGCAACTAAAAGCATAAATGATGGGATCGCATTTAATAACTGTCATTACGTATTTTTAATTAAAAAACCAACGTCTAACAATAAATTACTGATATTGAATAAAGCTGTACCAAGTCAATTTAAAACTTGGATTAATAATGAATATTATTTCTACCTTCTGAAAAATCAAGGCTTTATCTAATTTAAATCAGCTCGAATGTTATTGCATTTAATAAGGATAAATTGATAATTGCAATCAATAGCAGATACAAAACCAAGTCATTTGGGATCATGATAAGCAGCTGAATTTTACCTACATAAGGAAATAATACATAACTCATCAATTTACCCTGAATATTTAACTTAACTGTACCTGCTATACCATCCTTGTAAATAGAGTATGATTATGAATTACTTTTGCATGGCAGTTATAGACTCGTACACTCTATATAGTATGTTAAACCATTGCTTAGTAAAATTAGTATTATCTCAGAATTTACTAATGCTCTAATGTATTATATTTGCTGATGGCAGTTAAACGATAATAAAGCGACTATTATAGATAATAAATGGAACTATCGTCGAATGTAAGATTTCCGATTTCATTCATCAACTTCGGCTTGCAAGTATAACGAATATTGTGCTATAAGAAGATAGAATGGGAGCAAATATCGGTTAATCCTTAAGCATTAAAAAATGATTTTTATCTATCGGATTGATAGAAACCGTTTAACTAATTATAATTATATTTAACTTCTGGTGAAATGAAGGTATCAGCGGCATATTTACGTATACTGTTCAGTATCTTACAGAAATGAGATATCTATCAATGAAATTCACGGTAACTTTTTGTATTTGTATGCAATAACGTACTATTATTTTACTGAAGATGTCATAGATCCCGAGGTAAATATTTATAAGCCTTTTAACAACTTCTAATAATATCAGTAAATCATAAACTAACAAGCTGTACGTGGAATCGAACATTCCTACAACAACTCGGCTTCCCTAATCAAAATGAGAATGAAGCCTACCATCGATACGCAATTAAATTAACATATATTTACTTAAATACATCTAGGGCCATTAAATACTATGAGATAGCTATGTGCTACTGTATAGAAATAATGTTTAACTACAGATAATACTCAACATTAGTAGCCCATGTGCATTTCAGTAACCAGAATGACATCACTAGTTTTATGTAATAGTTTAATACCTGTATTGTAATTAATTTCCTGACACTATCCGTATTTCTCTATATATAACGTATAAGTAATATCGACAAAACATCGATGTAAATGGAGGAAAACTCATTCGGTAATGAATCGATAGTCATCTAATATTTATCATAACAATTAACTACTTATACAACGATATGAGAGAATAATCATCGAAAAAGGTCTTATTACATCAAGCCAATTGTACTTCTATAGGATAAAAAATTAAATTAGCTCAAATATCATGATACTGTTAAATCCTCATCCTGTTGAAATGAATGGCGAGATTGTATCTCATATTAATATAGTATTTTATTTAAAAAATATATAAAAATAGCACCTAATTTTATTAGGAAGGATAAATAAGTCTTCACTAAGTTATAATATTCAGACAGAACTGACATAATATTAACCATCGAAAATCTATAGCAAAGCAAGATTGACTCGAAAAACTATTAAGTACTCGTAGTCCAATGGAAATAACGGAAATGTTGACGATATTAGCTTATCATTTCGATTTGAAGATTAAAAATTATTGGTGAAAGAAGGAACAACAATTGGGATAGTGATTTGTAGCTTCTATTAATTGATCTTTCATTCTTTAATTTGCAATAGTGATGATTTCCAAGCAAAACAGTGACTGAAGCCACAGGATACTTGATTAATATCCTCATCCATTAAAGTATCGACTTGAATTACGTCTGTTGAAGACTTGAGGGTTTTAACTCCTAGTTGTCCGGCGTCATTATTTCCCCAGGCATAAATTTCACCATAAATAGTACATGCTAACCAGTGTAAACTACCAGCTGCAATCGCAATTACTCTTTTATCTTTAAGTACATCCACTATTTTAGGTCTTTCAACAGAGCCTACGATGCCGTGTTGCGAGTGATAATGACTACCATGGCCCCTAATCGATAAATTATAATTATTCAATTTATACTCACAATATAAGTCTTAAGTTACTTTATTTGTAAGCCTACGGTATTCTATATAAAACTGAATATCGCACTTTATGTATATTTGATAATTAAAGTTTTACTCTTCGTAAATCATTAGTTATTTCTAATCATTTATCCAAAATTGAGGGCAAATAAAATACAAAAAAGACGGTCACAATCATCAAGTATTGCATAAGTCCTTAGTAGATTATTCCACTTTCTCTAAATTACCATGAATACAAAGAACCACTCGTAGTCAAAGCCAATGTGAACGCACTACCGCAGATAACTCTATGGACACTTTTATTTAGCAGTCCATCTATGACCCCTGGCAACGTGCAAGGCTTGGTACTATTAATAATTCTCCCTAATTTACCACCAGCGGGATCACCCCATGACCAAACTTTATCATCACTTGTAACGGCAACAGTCTATAATATACGTAAATCAACGCAAATCTACAGTCACACATACGTATACATAAAAATAGCTTTTACTGCAGTACATTGCTAATTGTTGTGTTTACGCTATGTCTTTGATTTGTAATGTTTTCATTAGAGGTTTTAAAGTTTTTTAATTTTACTTACATCGATCAGAATATCTATCATCAAGTAAATTGTTTTAACTATTTTGATCGATCTTGAACAATAAAAACAGTTTAACCGTGCTCTTATATTGCATCTTTGTTATGTTAGAACTAGATTAGCTATTATATACTCTGACTTAAAATTGATTTAAAGTTACGACCCATTCCTGTAAGGTTCAACGGCAAAAATGTCACGCTATACATCAATTATAATTGTGTTATAATTTTGGAGTAATGTAATTGTCTCAACTACCATTCTGTAACAGAGCAATCATACAATTAAGTAAATTAATACGTATAAGCTTGTGTCACCGTAGTCCTTTTTAATATATAAGTTATTGTAAATTAATTATGTTTGATCTTAAATAAGACAGAAAAATTGAAGGTAAAATTATAAAACTCACGTGATTTTGATTTGCAGAACCACAAGCGACGTCAATAACCACTTTATCCGCTAGTGCTTCAACTAAAGTTGGTTCCAAGCAAGTTTTACTATTGCCATGACCTAAGCAACCCAATCCGCCATAACCCCATGTATACAATTTGCCCTGATTGGTTATAGCTGCTCGATGATCTCTACCACAACTAATATTAGTAAAAATTGCGTCTTTTACTGATGTAATCTGCTGTGCCGGTGTTCTATACGTAGAAAATTGTTTAAAAATTCGCAGTTATGATGCATTTTTAAAAAACAATTCGATAGAATAATAACTAATTAATATTAAGATCGATAAATTTATTTATTTTTCCATTATTAACTTACTCTCCCCATGAGTATAACTCTCCTTTTATTGTGATTCCTAATGCAAAATGACCATCAGGGTGAATATCAAGCTTAATTATTGTTAAATGTGATAACCCATTAATTAAGCGTGGCACGTGTAAGTTTTTACTATCATGTTCGTCTTCTTTAAGTTCCACTTGCCCAATTCCATAAACCTATAAATTAGTAGTTTATTATAAATAAATTTATAATGATGGGTAGTTGAAGTAAGGTTAGGTTGATTTCAGTATAATGCGCTACCTTGCCTTCTTGTGATAAGATATAAGTCTTATCATGGCCACCTTTAATCATAATTGGCCTAAGCTTGCTGATAGCCTTGCAGCGAGCTGGAGCTGGATATTCTATATTCTTTGACAATGGTATACCTAATTCTCCAGAATGATTGTTACCCCAAGCAAATACATCAACCATAACATGGGCAAAGTCTGATCTATATTTGTTCGGATATTATAACTAGTTATTGTAATTGTAATATTTAGACTATTTTACTTATCATATGAGTATATGCGAAGTATTAAGCGATAGCATCAATCGGGTTATTCTTTCATACATCAATACTAATTATCTCTTCCGTCGTGGTACGATTACTATATAATTAATATATTTAGGACTGATCTAATAGGCACATCTTTAATGGAGATAAATTGCATGATTGCGCGAGTAGCCATTTATTGTACTAATAAACATCTATGTTTATCAATAAAGTTGACCAATAAACCATTAGGAAACATTAAGAAGTGTGTAATCAGTTATAATTAGCGAAAGATTAAAGATAAAATTCTCGTTTATATTCATTTCTGATGATGTATAAGGGTATAATATGAACAAATAAGTTAATAATTAAAGATTATCGTCAAAAGTGAGGATAAATTCTTATTATATGCCTTTTTGCAACGTGCAAAAGGTATATTTTAAAAGTAAAATCACTTATTTTATCATTACAGTATACTGTTATCACTAGGAGATTAGACGAATTATTCTCATAGGTAAAGATAACGTGTCAATTATTGCGATGGAAAATGGTCATGATTATTCATCTTTTATAATTATAATTACTGCAATGTTGAAGAAGTGTTCTACATGGGTGAAAAATATTAGTGTTCGATATATATATATTTAACAGTACAGTACCAGTTTGAATTGATAGTAAACAACTAGAAGATATCTGATCAAATTTGATGACCCAAATTTATTGCCATCATTCATAAACCGTACAGTACTCATGATGAAAGCTGCAGAAAGTTTCCTCTTTGGTGTAAAAGGTAAGGGTAAACTATTATATTGATTAACTGGTTGGAATGGTAATGGATAGAAGAATTATATACAGTACAAATTACACAATACTCAGTCAGCCAGAAATAATGTTTGTAGTTAATTCGCAAAGATTCGTAGAACAATAAAGAAATCAACCTTAAAAGTAAGAAAGGACTATGATATGATATGGCTTTATGTTTAAAGTACTGATTTTAATTACCGATTCCTATACGATTTTCTCCTATACCCTACGATAAAGAGCATCTTTTATATTTTCGAAATAGATAAAACTGATTGATAGTTATAACTCGAGGAGTAATAATTTGTTTCGATAGGTTATGGTTGACATTGAGAGATTAACGAATAAAAGTAATTTCTATGGGCTGATAGATAATAATGCTGATAAGTTATTTTTAATAAATTGTATAATGCTTACTCTGTATCTTCTAAAATGATTCCATTATTTGGAGGACTAGCCGCAATAACTTGATTCTTTTCATTGATTTCAGTAACTTGATTCTCTTCATTAATTTCAATATCTTGGCACTTATTTTCAGCTTCTTTGCGTAATGTTTGACCCAATGAGACTAAAATTTCTGTATCGCTTAATTCTAAAACTTTGCAAAATCTATAAAACTCTTCATTGCTTTTCTGTTGTAAAATTTGTAAAAATCTGATATTTCTACGTTTCAGATTTCTTTCACGCCTAATCTGTCGCTGATCTATACCTTGCAAGACTTTCTCATTGAGCAGCTTATCTAATAAAGAGGTAATGGATAAATTTTTAATTAAACTTTCATAACTGTCTTCGATAGCTTCTCTTTCGTGATTGCCAATTGTCATGATTCATGTCTTGATGTGTCGGACGGAAAGTTTTGAAAAATATTTAGTTGAATGAAATAAATAAATGACTTTGGTTGCGATCGGAAGCCGAGAACGTTTGCATGTAACACTATGAGACCAAAAGCTCCATGCGGTGTGAAAGACTTTCAAAAAATTGCTAGTATTTCAAATATTGAATCTATTTTTCTGAGTAAGGTGATTCTTTATGTTCTCTAATCTAGGATTACTATAAAAATTAGTTTGAGTGGGTGTACCAAACGATCGTCGGAGAAAATGCTAATGATGCCGTTCCAATAGACTTTAATTAGACTTATCCAGAATAAAATAATAGCTAGTATGAATCAGTTAACATGATTAATTGGCATTAATGCAAACACTGAAAGTCCAGAATAGCAATCTTGATGGATATAGAATGACTGGTGCAGTCGCTGAATCCGAACTAATGCGCCATGTAGGCGTAACCTATGAAATATCTGGTAAATATTTCATTAGCTATCATCGTAATTCAATAGCACGATTAAACTAATATTAATTAGGGTATTGTTCAGGAAATAATTATTATTAAGTCCGACATTAAATTAACATGACATAGTTGATATGTGGAGACAGTTTTAGATATTTCAACATAACATCGGGACATATAGTATAATTAAGTTTCAGAAGATTGAAAGAAAATAGACGAGCTTTAAAATCAGATTATTCATTTTTTTAGACTATAGACCAAATGATGATTGATAACGGTGATATATTTGATAGTGTGTAAAATTTGGAAGAGTGTACTATAACGAGTCTGCTGCCGTGTATAGATTATAGACATCGAGACAAGTTATCTATCATAATGATCAGTATTCATAATATTAGGATAATAATATGAAGATGTGTCCATATTACATAAATTCGATTTATTTTAACTGTATATGGGTAAGTTCATAGGTACTTTTTATCTTCATCTTATTTTAATGTAGAAATCATATTCCTACAGTAAGGAAAGCCACTATGCTTCTATCATGAGTTGAATAGTAAACATCTGGAAAAAAAGGAATGAACGGGAAGTGACGATTAGAATAGTTCGAGCGTGAGAAGAGTAACAACAGACTACGTTATTTCCATTATTTACAATAAATAACAGTCAATAAGAGAACGGCTTAATGCATTGATTATAATTATTATTAGAGCTAAATCGAGTAGAAAAATGTTGGATGGCTATAAACGATATAGTAGGTTACTGCGCTCAATATCAGTCATTTTATTCGAATTATTGCACTTGGGTTCATAAGCCTTCATAGTTTTAAATAGAGAAGTACTGTACATTTTTCAACGTTATCATCATAATTGTTATTTGAATTGCTGATTATATTTACTTATAAACTCAAGTTATATCATTACGGCAAAATTTTCGCCCTATTAAATAATTGTCACGGTACGAACTACCGTAAAGAAATAGCTATCTGAATTAGGTGAATATAATATAGTGATAATATATTACAACTAGTTACTTACAATAGGAATTACTCTAATTATAAATGTGTTACAGTAAATTTAATGTTGTGCTGTAACGTGCACTGAAATGATCTGTGAATGGACATGTTGTAGTCCGACTGTGAAAAATTAGTTAGTAGATGTTCTCACCTAAGTATTTTTATAAGATGACTCATGAATGTTAGCTGCTGTAGATGGGTATATAAGCCCGTCAGATAGTTGAATAAAAGTAGTTCTCAATTGTCTAGTTGAGTTTAACGTAGAATCAAAGGCGTCTAAATTCTTGTGAGGTAGTTAAGGGATACAGAATCCCGGAGATTATAGTAATTGAGAGATTTATTTTACGTTATCCTTGTCACGAAGCTGGTTTGTGACAATAATCGTAATGGACAATCAATTTAATGGTATTATCCAGAAAGAACGAGGTTCCGACTGAATTTTATTGCTTTATTTGAATATTATATCATTCATGATAAGAATGAAGAATTTGATCCATACTTTCATGTTATCTAAATAGTCCTACTGCTTGCTGATGCAAATGTGCAGAGTCAATAAGTGAGGCTACTACTCTAGTCCTCTACCGTGTTGAAATCATAACAAGATTTCCATTCTTCAAAATTTATAACGGGAACATAGCACTAAATGAAATTCTTTGGAACCATTACACGAGCCCGTATATTAATTATAAGGTTATATTTGTTAGTAGGAATTTCGAATAAGCAAATATCTTTTATTTGTTTAGTTACCATTTGAAATCATGATGTATGAACTGTGATATATTATTTCAGTCAGCGAAATGACAGGACGTTAAGCTAGCTATTTATTCATTTCTTCGAATAATCTTTCCGACACAAGAATTTGTGCAATGAGGAGTGCAAGAAGGCTAACGAAGATGATATCATGTACTAATCCATCAGACTGTTGTTATTTTTTGCAAATGAAGCATTGGCGATTATGTCAACACGTTACTTTATTAACTCAATTTGACAGTAGTACTTGGTGTATGTATTATGGTTAAAACTTGAATTTGGCCAATGCTAGGGTTGACTCAATGACCATATTGAGGGTTCAATAGTCCCCATAACATTGGCCTTACTACGCTAAAGCACAGTACCGTATGAATATCATTAAATATAGTAGTAAAATAGGACGCAATCGCGAATTTTTCCAAACTGTATGGAAGCACCATCAAGTCTCCATTCTCTTTTGGTGATCAACAAGCAAAATATCAACATGCTCCAAATTTTACCCTGTCAGATCAAAATTTTTTGCTGACATGGCAAGATGATGAACCAGGTGTCAAAAGCGGAAGTTGGATAAAGCAATCTCCGAGTAGCTCGCTAAATAAAATGCGTATGAAAAGTAGTATTGTAGAAGCATAGTTGTGAATATACTGTACTGTAGTAGTGCCCGGCTATTACCGGGATATACTGTATACAGTATAATGTCTGTTAATTATTAACAAATGGGCACATTATCGTAAACCGTCAGCAAAGCGACGCGAGTTTGTACTAGTCTATACTAATTTGTCCAAAATGGTTTAGGGCTACTGTACATTCTATGATTCTACTATCAACAAGTCCTAAGTAGAGTGTACTTGATCTTGGAGAGGAAGGGTACAATATATAAATTAGTACTGGACTGCAGACCAACTGCAGGGTTTTAGCCAACGATTGCAAGTAAAAGTCAGCCATCACCTTTTGAAATACTGATCCAACGCCATTTTTAGAAATGACCCCAAAATGAAGTTGGATCAGTCATTTCAAAGAGGACTGGACTACTTTTAGTCACTAGAACTTTAATATCAAGAGACCGCCACAAATGGTCACTCAAGCTTGAATAGTAGTCTACAACCAATGCAAGTATGGATTGGATCGTCTACATATCGAATTCTAATGTAGTTGTCCATCGCTGGCTGTAATCCGTTCCATTTCGATTTTGGATCGGTGTCTTTTTGAGCAGTGACGATCTTGTAGGCAGACCATACAGTACACTACAGTATGCTGTGGAGAAAGAGTCTCTCTGTCCAGCTTGTCTGAGGTCATTGTAAAATGTACAGTACTGTACCGACTGTACTGTGGAGAAAGAGTCTGTCTCTCTGTCTAGCTTGTCTGAGGTCATTGTAAAATGTAGAGTACTGTACTGTACAGTACATAGTTCCGTTAAGAATACTGTAGAGTGTACTGTAGAGTGGAGACTCTCCGTGGTCCCAGTGTCGTGGTAGACCGTCCCGGACCAGACCGTCCCGGACTAGATCATGAGGATCGCTAGTGGTAAGGACAAGGGGAAAAAGAATAATAAAGGGAAAAAAGAAGAAGAATAATAGAGAAAATTAGAGTGCTATTCAACAGTTCATTGTAGTGGACGACCTTGCGTACGTAGGCATTTTGAACGCCCTTCTTTGGTGTTTACATTTTTGATCACCTTGCAAATTGGATAGCAATGATGGATTCTTGAAAGATTCAACACGCATGATTGCAAGCGATTATTGATGTACAGGGAAAGACTAAAGGAGAGCACGTATTATCCAAGTGGCAAGATTACTGACTGAATTGGTGTGGATAATTGATGATTTTCCTACTGGATGGCAAGCCATCGAACTTGATCTTGTTACCATTGTTGCAAAGCTTTCGGTTTATGGCAAGAGACTATACAGTAAGGTACAGTACGATCATCTTGCATGTTGGAAAAAGAAAATTTCTAAATGATCATGTCCAATGGATGTAACATAAGTCAGTCGTATGTCTACAACGTAGTATTGAATCGTCTAGTTCACCTTGTTGATGCCATTTCTACATTTCTTGTCTGGAAATGGGTGTACATGGTCTTGGATGTCTTACTTGCTGATTGATCGTTGATTATGGGTGAAGGGTAGTTTGAACAGGAGAGTTTTTTGGGACGAAAACCAACTGCAAATGACAATGTTGTTGTTTTGATCAGGCGCTGAGATCAAGATTGTAAATTCATACCGCCTTTTTCACGACTAATTTTATCATACAGTAAATGATAATACGGTAGATAGTTTCTTCATCCACTACTTCCTGGATTTTTCCACGCCTGGAAAAATTCATACTGATGTAGTCGATACGACTGAATAGAGTCGTTCACACGCAATCAATAGTGAACTCACAACATGAAATTTTACCACCCATTGGATACTAGCGTTGCGTACAATCATGTCAATTTATGATATCGGTAGCGGGATGGATAAATGTATTGCTTGTCTATCTAGCTATTAACCAGTCCACGAAGAATCCGAATAGACGTAGGCAATTGTTATGAGGTACACGCATTGATTGCGTTTACTATCTGTATACGACGAATACATATCCGCGCGGCACTGTAAAAAAGATCGTATGGCGATGGAAAATGAATTAATTAATGAACCGCATCATGGTGTATAATATAGACAGTACGGATATAATTGTACTCTACAGTGTACAATATACACTATTAATTCATTAATTATAGAATAAACTAGTAGAATATATATGCACTTTTCAAAATTGATATCACCCATCGCAGTTGAAGAGTAATGGAAGAGATCATGCCGTTGCAATTTCATTTTCTTGCCTACTACTGAAGAGAAGTGAAGCCTTTTCATACATTCTCCCTGCTATTTTCATGGACTCGTATAAGTTTTGAACTACACAAGTAGAGCATTCCTACGATATACCACGAGGCTGTTAGGAATTTCCTATGTTAAAGATTTACTACTAAGTTATTGGTAGTCCATACTGTGTTTGAACATTTGCCTACTTCTGCGCTCAGGCTGCTAATGAGAGACCATTGAATACTTGTTTTACTTCACATTCAAACTGCAGTAACATTTTTGCTGACATTGATAGATGTTCAATATTTTGACTTATCAACCAACTAGCCCTTACTAGTTACAACTTTATTTGTATCCTATGGATATGGTATCGGTATAGCATCGTCCAATAGTTCTACAACTTCTACCCGTATCACTACTGCAGATCTTGATTTTTCGAATATACAGTAAATTGAAATACAGTACATCCATATCCAAGAATTGCTATATATGCGTAGTATATGTGCGTATACTCCAAGCCTATCGAGTATATTTTCGCAAAGCCTTTTCTGATAATACTGTCACAACTTATTAACAGAGTAAAAGTATTTGATATACTATGCTACCTACGATCAACTACTGTACAACAACTTCACAGTATTGTCATACCGAGTATATATATACAGTATCTAACAGTAACGTGTTTATATCAACCTCCAGATATATTGATGTACGTTAAAATGTGCCATAGCATATTGATGATTGATTACCTGAGTGTATTATAAGAAATTGAAATGGACAAATTGCCTTACTTAAATTAATAAATTTATGTATTGTATTTTTATGACTACAGCTCTGTGGAAGCTTATGCTCCTGTAAATCAACTACGACGATATTTGAATCGCGATATTGGATCACGTTGAAAGGTTATTTCTACGTGATGTATATTTTTGTCCCTGCAATTCTACATACACGGTCAAGTTTGGGATAATGCAATCTCGTAGTCAATCTGATAGTGCTAACGGAACAAATGCCAAGTTAGCTCACAAGGCCAATGTAACTGCTGCTTATGAAATCCAAAAAAATTTGAAATATGATTTCAAAGATTCGTCGTTGCTTCTTACTGCGCTTGGTAAAGACAACAAATTGGATACATCTATAGGATTGCCAGGTCGTTATGGAAATCAACAAATACTAGAGATGATCGGTGATGCCTGGTTGCGCTTTGTGGTTTTATATAAGCTATACGAAATGAAAGAACATACCGATGGATCTGCTAAATCGTTTAATGACGCTACTAAATGGTTGGTCTCTAATGATACTGTCTTACCGGAAATAGGTAAAAGATTAGGTTTAGAAAAATGTATTCGAAATATTACCGATAAAAAAAAATATTTGGCTAATTACACGGAAGCAATCCTCGGCGCTGCTGTTATTGACGATCGTAATTTACATCGATCCTTTCAAGTTGTCGACCGACTCTGGTCCCCATACATCAACACTTATAAGAACAACGATAATAATTGCGATGCAAGACCGCTCTTTGTTAGCCAAGAAATAACGAATCAAAATCAAGCTAATGATGAAAAAACTCATGGTAATGATTTTCATTTACCTGAGCTCATTCCAAATGCCGACTACAATCAAACTGATCACGATTCACAATCAAGCAAGGAGAGCTTTGCAATAGGTAACGATGATAAAAAATGTCCATATACAGCCATGGTTAATCCCGACAACGTTACGGCTACAGTTAAACCGTCAACGGAAGCACATCATTCAAATGAAAGTAATCAATTTGATACGGCTGAGTCTAATACCGTTATAAAAGTCAAGAAAGTTGCAATTAATACGACAGTTGATAGCCACGTTGACGGCCTATCTGTAGCTCAAAGCAAGTTAATTGTGCAGAAGGCATTTAGTAGTTTTTGCAATAGTTTGAGTGTATTCCAAAAGATGGTTTCACAACTCCCAGATATTAATTGTCGACACGGGAGTGCTGGCGATACAATATTAATGAAAATTGTTACGGCAAGTAAATTAAATAATTCTAAAAAACTGGAGAGGATACAATTTTTACTCGATCATGGTGCATCGTGGAACGTGAAAAATAACGAGGGTTTAGACGCTCTCAGTATCTGTCAGAGCAAAAATCCTGATCTTATTCTGCAGTTAAAGCGAAAGGGATTGATTAGTAATGATGGACAAATAAATGATGCAGATAAGCTTAATGATAAAGAGCAAGATAACAAGATTATGCTCAATCGGCATATAGTTGATCCTGATGCTATTAAACATAGCAATCATGTCGCATCTAATGTAACAGTTAATAGCCACACTGAAGGAAAATCGACACCTCAAAGCGATTTAATGGAGCATAAAGCATTTAGCAGTTATTGTAGTAATTTTAATATGTTTAAAAATATTATCACGCAAGTCTCAAATGTTAATTATCGACATGGTAAAGCTGGCGAAACTATATTGATGAAAATTATTACTACAAAAAATCTAGATAATTCTGATAAACTGCAGAGGATACAGCTTTTACGCAATTGTGGTGCGTCGTGGAAATTGAAAAATTTTGAGGGATTAGACGCCCTCAGCATCTGTCAGAGAAAAAATCCTGATCTTATGTCGCTTTTAAAACTAAAAGGATTGATTGGTAATAACGTTCAAGAAGCTCCCACTGAAATCAATAAAAAAGAGGATGGTGTTGTCTCGCCAACCTTCAATCGAAATCAAAAAAATAAAATATGTGAATTATCGGTGGTCAAAAATGACGATCGGGCTATCGATAAAGAGCAGGAAAACATCAATAATCTGTTTTCTAATCATTGCAATAGCTTCTCAAATCTCAAGATGGCAGTTAATCAGGTTAAAGATATTAATTGTAAAAAGAATGACGATGGAGGAGATAACATTTTGATGACTATCCTGAAATGCACAAGGCTTGCTGATGAGAAAAAGATAGAAAGGATCAGATTTCTTCTATCTCGTGGTGCTTCCTGGAAAGCTACAAATAATTCTTCCGTGAATGCAGTGAATGTTGGTTTAAAATATTGTCCACAGTTAATGAATACGTTAATAGAGCAAGGACGAGTAGATCAACATGCGTTAAAGAAATGTAGCCGGCTATTACCTACAAGCTACTCAAATCAAAACACTGTTAAAGATACTAAATTGCCTAAAACTGCAATTGTAAATGATCATATTCAACTAGTCGATCATGCTATTAACGACAACAATAAAGCCCTATTTCCAGAACTTTATCAAGATATTGATCAATTTAAAACTGCAGTCTTAAAATTACCAGATTTGAATTCCACTTGGATTTCAGGTAATACTATATTAATGACAATATTACAAAGTCCCTTTTTAGATAGTCAAGAGAAAATAGAGAAGATAGAAATTCTTGTACAATTGGGAGCTTCTTGGTATGCCACTAATGAGCATGGCAAGAATGCTATCGATGTAGGTTTAAAAGCATGCCCAAAGATATTGGCTAAACTTATCAGAGCGGATTCTGTAAAACAAGATAATATCTTTCAATCGAAAGTTAAAGAAAGGGCAGAACTACTAACACGTACGGGAAAATTTCAAACAGAAAATGCTTTTGATATTAGTCAAAAGGACAATGTTGTAGAATTATCCTGTCGCAAAGATAATACAAACCGAAAACTGTTTACACATTATTGTAAAGGAATGGACCGGTTTAAGGAAATTATAAAGGAATCTAGTAACTTAAATTGTAGAAATGATGGTAAAGTAGGTAACACTGTTCTTATACTAATACTGCTAAATGAAACGATGGACGACGGTGTGAAAGTGGACAGGATAAAATTACTTGTTTCATCCGGCGCGTCATGGTATACTGCCAATAATTGTGGAATGAATGCAATTGATATTGGTTTGCAATCGTGTCCCAAGTTTCTGGCCGACTTAATCGAACAAGGTTTAGTCGGAGAATTATCTGAACATGATACAGATTCCTTAATTGATCAGAGCAGTAATGGAATTACAGTCTCTACTAATCAATCTTACAGTACATCTGACAGTGATGCAAGTGCTAGTACGCCATTAGTGCAGGGTCAAGAAAAAGATGATGCTATGTTGAAGTTAAGTTATTGCAATAGTATCGATAAATTCAGAGATTCTATCCAAAAATTATCTAATATCAATGTTAGAAACTCTGGTAAGTCGGGTGATACTATCCTAATGACCATTCTACAAATTAAAAGACTAGATGAACCATCTAAAATCGAAAGAATAAAGATTCTGCTATCGTCTAAAGCTTCATGGTATGCTACTAATAATCGTGGCCAGAATGCTATTGATCTATGCTTACAGAAATATCCAGATTTGTTAGCGAAGCTAATAAGAATGAAACTCATCAAGCAAGATGACATATTTAAATCTGTTGCTCAAGAAAAAGCTACTATGATTCAGTCTATAATTGGATCTGATCGTAATGGTAAGAGATCCGCGAATATGAAAACATGTCAAAATAGCATCGGCAGGAATGGTAATAGCAAATTTATAGAATTGATATCCAGTACAGAAACTTTGAACGATCCTATTATATTCACGTGTTATTGCGGTAACATGGATAAATTTAAAGATGTAGTGCAGGCAGCTAAGACCCTGGATTGTAGAAATTCAGGCAAGATAGGTAATACTTTACTAATGATGCTATTGCAAAGCAAGAGATTGGATAAAAATTCTAAAATAGAAAGAATAAAGTTAGTGGTATCTTTTGGAGCTTCGTGGTATGCAGTCAATAAACAAGGTCAAAACGCTATTGATATTGGCTTACAGTTATGTCCTGACTTATTAGCCAGTTTAGTCGAACAAGGTCTAGTAAAATACGATAAATCTTATTGTATTAAAGACCACCAAGGAGTAGCCATCGACAATTCTTCAGTTATGCCAGCTTCAGTACCGGACAGAAAGATACCGCCCTATTCGTCTGCTTCTAATGCGCCTTCTATACCAACCTATGGTAGTAATGCTGCTTACCCTTATATCTTTCCATCGTCTACAACACCTGCATTCAATAACAGTTTAGCACCGATAAATCATAATTATATACACTCTGGACTATATCCAAGTCAGGGACTTGTTACAAGTTCCTACATACCTGGTCAGTGGCTTGGAAATAGTCCCTATCCAGATTTAATGCCATTATTTGCTCCGCCAGTACGAAGCAAGACTCAACACCCATCTATACGTCTATAGAATTTGATAAATTGCTTCATAATTAATATTAAGTATCAGTAGATCCTATACATGAATATTATAGACAGTAATTTTTGTGTATAGTATACTGGATAGCAACGCCAATTTTGTGTATTGGGCTAGTAGTATCTTATTATCGATTGATCAGTGCTAACATTAAATATCTAAGAAACCAATTTCTAGGTATACAATGCTCGCACCAAATATAAAGTATTTATCCCGGTCTTTATGTTAGTTTCAACGTTAAATACTGTTATAACTCAAGGCAATATACGTCGTACGTATGCTTTGAAGATATAGCTTTTGAAGTTAGTATGCTGGTGGCGTAATACCGTAGTTTATAATGATATATCAGTGAAAATAAAATGATAGGTATTGTTACATTTGATGTTTAACAGTTTGGGTGGTGGTTCGGTAATTGCGTGATATATTGATTGTCTATAAGGTAACAATAACATAGTTGATTTAAAGGTGAGGGTATTTAAAACATTTCTTAAATTAAAGTAACTAGTGCAAACTCCCGTCGCTTTACTGACGGTTTACGATAATGTGCTCATTTAACATCTTTTACGAGGTTCAGTAACTTTATACCGTACCGTGTAGCAGTGATTATGTGTACTAAATTTGGCCATTGATTAACTTTTGTGTAAGATTGTCTACGATAATCATGTGTAAGAATAGCCATCCAATGTGGTCATCATGTACTTGCAATGGATACTGTTTACAAGTTAGTTATCCTATAGTAATATCGTATTTATGGCTATCATCAGTGTTCCTAGTGTTATTCATGGTTACGTCTTAATTTATGATTATGAAAAATAAAAGAATATAGCCTCAATCAATTGAAAATTTGATGTTATTTCTGGTGCTCCTTATTGAAATAAGTTGTCATTGCTTTGATATTTCCATCATTGGAGAGTGTTATAACGTTAAGCATTTCCTCAGTATCAAAATATGCTATGTACGCGTATGCACAATATTAAATTGCCTATTTCACTCCATACGATAGAAATTGAAAATTCTTTATTTGATATTTTGTATCGAATTGTATAGTCAAGATATTTATTATTGAAATGGACATCTATTTCGGCACCATACGCATATATATATAAAGTACTGATGATAACATGGCTTGATGAGTTAGAATACTATCGGTGGTGCGAGTGTTGATGTGGTTTACAAAAATCATAATTTGGAGTAATTGCAGACCAGTGATGGCGGTCAAAAAATGGTATAATATATTTGCGCAATTATGAACTACAACTGATTGGAACTGACGAAAGCATGACAACATTGCCTTTCTGCAAAGAATTGAACTTAAATTGACTAAGTGGATTGAACATAACAAGAATATCATCACGTCCATTATTGTGTAGTGAGGTAAATTTAATAATCAATCTACCTAGAATAATTTTACTGAAAAAAAGACACAAGAGAAAGTGGCTTTTAACAATATTTGTTATATACTCCCATACGATATATTACATAACATACAATACTGCAGAAGGATGAAAATCTACAATGTCACACAATGATATATAAATTAGTTTAAGTCAAAGGCAGTTTAATATAAAATTTTATTAGACCCTAATTACTCATGATAACTCTACGATAATACCAATAAGAAAGTTTGTATCGGTGTCTTTATTTTACTCCAATTTCTTTTTGAGCAGTTGGTACCATTAAATAGTGTCGAAACAAAAGTTGGCATAGATGTATCATGCATCAAGAATGAAGTCATAGCACAGAATTTGTTGAGAAATGTCAAATAACAATCATAATTATTAGCTAGCTAGTACGTATAGATGATCAATTAGTCATTTTGGACAATTTTGAACGTCCAATACTCGAGCATCAGAGGAATCTTTAAGGAGTCTAGGAAAAATAATTTTCTACAAACTCTTTCAATAAAATTGTCAAGAATTGTGGTAAGAAAAAAGTTATAGCATTACGTTAACCACGGAAATGATAACTTCATATCGTTGGTATTTTGAGGATAGTCAACACAAAACTTCTTTTCGTCGCCCCAAACTTTACTTAAATCTTGAATAATGTGTTTGGAAGCAGCTTGAACCCATTTCGGATCATGTAAATATTGGCAAAGATAACATAGTGATCCGTCACTATCCACTCTCACGACTTTATGCGAAGCCTTCCATTTAAAAAAACTATTATACAAGGTTTTATTCTTAGCCACTTTCTTAATATAAGCAACTAAATCTGGCATCGATTTAAAGTCGAGTGCATTGATGTATGAACCAGGAGGGCTGGTAGCTGGACTGCTATAATTAGCACCACCAATGACGATAGGAACTGTGCCCAGTTTTAAGCCGTTGTGGTAAAATTTTTCAGTGACATAGTCTTTACAGATAAAATTCTCGAAGCTTAAATAAAACTTATGTTCGTGTGAAATTTTATCCCAGCAATCCTTATTTCTACCACAGTTGAATTTACCGCATTTGCCATAGGAATCAATGTCAATCTGTTGAGCCAGTTTTTGAACAAATTGTGTGCGACCTGGATAGCACTGGCTTGAAGCCCAAGCAATTAACTTGGTCTTGCCCTCACTATAATCTTTCTTTGGATCATAATTTTGGGAAAAATTTCCTTGGACAATCTCTGCATAGGGTGCGTATGCCATGCCATCCTTGGCATAGCTGTTGACAACATTAAAGATGCCATTATGGATGGATTTTATAGGTGATCCGGATAATTTTCGCGTTAACACGGGATTTTCTAAATTATGATAAACCCATATTTGACGGGGGGGTTTCTTGCTTGACGGAATGAAGCCTTTGCTTTTCATACTGGGGGCAGAACCGTGAAATACTAAAGCAGCAGCTTGTGAATATTGGCTTTTATCTGAAGTAAAGATACAGGTGACATTGCCACATTTTACTCGGCCATAACGATCATCGGGCCATCTGCCACCGAACCAACCAGTCCAATAAAGAATGATTGGTATTTTCTTGGTTGGTTTTGTAGTAGGTCTTTTGGTGGTTGGTTTTTTCGTCGTAGGTTTATTTGTCGTTGGTTTTTGTGTCGTCGATTTTTTGGCCGGAGGTTTGGGAGTGGTGACCACTTTCTTAGCAGACGATCCCATCGTCGTTGTCGGCTTGATTGTCGTAGTAGCATTTATAGGGCTGGTAGTCTGCGATAGTTTCTCCTTTCTCCCTTTATTACTATGATTACTAAAGCTAGAAATCATTTTATATTCTACAATACCAATTCCTTGAATTTTTATAGCATATAACGTTGCTAAAATGACAATAGCCACTAGACCTAGTACAATCCATAAGCGTTTCCTTGTCGTTGATGTAGTATTATTCATCTTTCATTGAATTGATACAGCTTTGCCGCCGCCTTTACTTTTCAATCTTAATGTTGAAATTGGACACAAACTGCATTGACCAATATGAAAAAAAGGAAGAAATTTGCAATTAAATCGGCTGTCAATTGATGCCACAACACGCAGTACAGCCGTCCAATAACATGCACGCTAATCAACTCTCTCTCTACAGTCGATAATTTCAGCATATAAAAAAAAAAAAATGTTGAAGTTAATCCCTTCAGCGAGATGGATAGGAAGGATCGCTGTTGATGATGGCAATTTCTTTCCAATCCTTTGCAGTTGGGCACCAACTTTGAATGCGGATGAAAATTCTTGCCAATTGTGCTGATCAATTCTCACTAGCAACGTTTAATTACGTTGATTTCCTCTTAAAGACCACAATGGTAAAAAATACAACAAAATCTAGCAATTAATTTCCGCTTGAAGATGGATATACGCTTTTCGTCCAAAAGATAGCAACCCAATCAAGGAGTGATTTCCGCTTAAAGACATTTGTCCACCTGGGGCATCTTACTATACTATATTGTACATTACTGAGTCATTGAACGTGCCATGGATTGACAATCCTGGATCAGGGACATCAGTGAGACAGATGGAGTCCCTGACGCTGATTGGTGCCGTCCGTCCGATAACTTGTCGATTGATTAGGAGAATGAATTACTGATTTGCCACTACTTGGAATTATTATTAAGGAGCAAGGAATCATGTCTGATTTCCAACATGTTTTTCTTCTACGCTATATTGCATGGTTAAATTGGCAGCGTGTATGCTGGCTGACTAGTATCTATGGAATACGCTAAGATCAAATTAGAAAATGTTCCAATTCTCAAGTATCCAAATAGACAGTGTTGATCGAGTCGATGCGCCAATGCAATTAATCAAACCATCGACAGGTGTACCATCGATGGCGACTACACTATCAACATCGTCTGTCATCTGGGATGGACGATAAAGTTATGCAAGAATGTTTGATCATGGATGATGAATGCCTATTTTCTTTAGGATAGACCTTGGCCATACAATATACAGACTACAAAGAGATGTGTGTTTTCTCTCTATCTCCAGGATAGACGACGGCTGCATTTCTACTTTCACGAAGATTAGTACTATAAGAATTCGCATTTTACAAGTGAACACGTATATATTAGGTAGAGACGATGAACACTAAAAATGGAATACGAGTAGTTTCTGTGGCGGACACCCATAGGGAAGACTTGATTCTGGAAGAAAGCATAGCCTTGTTAATTACATGACGTGCTTTCATTTGGTGGAAAGGAATCATTTGATCGACAAAAGAAATCGATCGGTGTAATCCATTTCGTGAAAATGAATACGTAATCATTCATTTTTCAATGTATTTGATCAATATTATTGTTTACAAGCCAGAAGTACAAATAGCCAATGAAGATTATGCAGAACACTGTGCAATAGCTTTCTTGTCAAATGATCCATTTGTGACGACTATAATATAGGATACTAACTACAAATACACTCTTAACTATCGCAGTTATAAGTACAGTTTACTGCAGGATAATAAGCGTACAAAGACTCACTTAACTGCGTCGATAGTCATGAGTTTTCTTGTCCAATAATCCATTTGTGACAACCATCATATAGGATAATAACTACAAATACAGTCGAACTATGGCACTTATAAGTACAGTTTACTGCAGGATAATATCCGCACAAAGACTCATTTAACTACCTCGATAGTCATGAGTTTTCTTTCCAATAATCCAATTACGACGACTATAATATAGGATAATAACTACAAATACAGTCGAACTATGGCACTTATAAGTACAGTTTACTGCAGGATAATATCCGCACAAAGACTCACTTAACTACCTCGATAGTCGTGATGAGTTGTCTTGTCAAATAATCCATTTATGACGACTATAGTACAATAGTCATGGAAAGCACAGTGTCGTTTTCTCATCAACTAGTCGATTGGTGCGACTAGAGTACAAGATAATAACTATAACTACCGTTAAAAATTAATGGACTAGCATAGTCATTGATCTTGCTCAATTTGGGACTATTACAATATAGTACAATTTACTTCAGGAGAATAACTACAAATACTCACTTATTCATTTATCACCGCCAATAGTCATGGAAAGCACATTGTCGTTTTCTCATCAACTAGTCGATTGGTGCGACTAGAGTACAAGATAATAACTATAACTACCGTTAAAAATTAATGGACTAGCATAGTCATTGATCTTGCTCAATTTGGGACTATTACAATATAGTACAATTTACTTCAGGAGAATAACTACAAATGCTCACTTATTCATTTATCACCGCCAATAGTCATGGAAAGCACATTGTCGTTTTCTCATCAACTAGTCGATTGGTGCGACTAGAGTACAAGATAATAACTATAACTACCGTTAAAAATTCATGGACTAGCATAGTCATTTTTCTTGTTCAATTTGAGATTATAGTACAGTTTACTTCAGGAGAATAACTACAAATGCTCACTTATTCATTAATCACCGCCAATAGTCATGGAAAGCAAAATGTCGTTTTCTTGTCCAGTAGTCGATTGGTGCCGACTAGAGTGGAGTTGACTCTAGGGCTCCAAACAAGTGATATTGTACAGTCTGTACTATGATGATCGTGCAAAAGTAGCGTTTTGTATAGGTACTGTCCAACCATCGTCGACAGTACCTATAGTGTCATTATCGACAGGTGTAGCCTCCATGGTCAATTGGTCAATGGTCATGTGGTTCATGTCATGTGGTCTGGTAGACAGCAGCCTTTGAAAGGATTGACTAGCGGATCGTGTGGGTAAATTGCTAAATTAGCTGCAGACGAAGGCGGCAAAGGTGGAATCTTTCATCAAAAGGTACAGCAAATTATTTTATTCGACTAAAATTGTCTTTGAAAATCAGGACTACGACATGTGTTTTCAAGAAAATCACTAAGGTGTTTCAATGAAAATGGCCCCAACAGCATCTATTGGCACACTTTCAAGACGGGCAAGCCATTGTCACTGGTTCAATGTAGGGTAATAGGGGGTAGTCAAGCAAAAAAATTTCAACCAGTGGAAAACTATTCCAACAACGATTCATTCATATACCCTCTCTTGCATTCCATAACTAGCTTAGATTGATCGGAGAAAAGGAAATTCTAGCAAAGAAATAACTTTCTCTTACTCTCAACAGGATATCTGGACTAGCGTACAGCTGAACGACTACTTCCACAGTTCATTCAAGGATGTTGTTGAACCCTACTCCAAATACGCACTGTTGAGCTATGTTGACATGCAACGTTGCAATATGCAGTGTTGATCCACTTTTCTCTATCCTACTCATTAGACTATATAGACTGCAATTGCAGATTATCAGAAAGCAACTCTTTTACCCTCTTTGGATTCCCTGCTATTCTACTACAAATGATAGATCATGTCATCGCTGTCTGTTCAATAGCAATCACTTGGACAATCCATGATCGATGGACGAGTTTTGGCGCCAGTCTTGACTCCACTTTACTTGACTCTTCATCAGCCAAGACTAAATCACTTACAAAATCCCATTTTGAATTCAAAAGATTATTCACACTATCACAAGCTGATGGCCATACATTCGTTTAGTTTTCAAGTGAGAAAATTACTTTGTACTGCTGTTTTCAATAGTATTCAACACCATATAGTATACTGTGCTTGCAGGACAGTACTGTAGTGAAATTCTCACTAGCTTATCGAGTCAACATTCATAGCTTTCCTAATAATAATAAACTTCATGGCAGCGTGCGCTTGGATGTAGCTTTTAAATACGCGTAGATTAACAGTCAATCCTATCTGGAAAAATGCATCGAACAGCAGCAGTTATACATTAAAGTCCTCAATCAATCGAGCAACCAATGATAGCATCATTTCCTTACCAAGCCAATATACTGTACGCATATCGAAAACTGAAAAGCATTCTACGGCAGTCGGTCAAGGTGTTCATTGCCTCTGTAATCACTACAACAAATCAACATTCGTCTAGCTAGACAATGATAGTACACTGCATAGATGCGTAGAATTGCTTTTCCAATCGTGTTAACGTTACAATGACTCTTACTTTCTTCATCAGTCCACAGTATCAAAGACGTAAGGATGCTAGTAGTAAAGACCATTCCAAACCGTCTTGACAAAGTGATTTTTTTGTTTTTTTTCTACAGGCAAATACACCTCCCCGTTGATTAAAAATGTTCAAATTAATTCGTTCATGTGAGTATTCCTATATATCTCAATATTCGTTGTACTATACTGTAGATGCATTTATACTAGTTAGCCAACGCAATTAGTGACTATTTTGAATGCTATTAATAATCCATTGCTTTTGCGCCTAATATACTTGTACCATCATATTGTTCCTTTCTTCTCAGTAGAATAACTCTGTAAATAAACACTTTGAACAATATTT